ATTTTCATTTCGCAAATGTAGATTGTTTCTTCATAGAAAATTTTAGCAGGTTTCTGATTTCCTTGGGATTAGAAAACTTTCTTATCGAAATTCATTTTTCGGTGCGTAATATAATTTTGTTCATCATGAATACTCAAAAAATTCATGTGAAATATGGTAAAAACTTCTTTTATGTCTCTTTTTTTTTAAACGGAACTACATTTCGAATATTATCATACAGGTTCGGATCAAATTGAAATAAAAATACACACATTACATAGTTCATAATTGAATCTATGATTGATGAACTTTCGTATCGAATATATGTTATATTTGATATTCAGATGTATTCACCCGATTAGTATTTATGGATAGGCAACGCTAAAAAAATTTTGTAATGATCTCAGTCATATTTAAACTCAAAGGTAAAAAATATGATATCTCAAATTATATATATTTTCATTTTTATCAGATTTTTTTAAATTCGTTGATGATATTCCATTCTAGCTATTTTAAGTACTATTTTCGATATGCATTTTCATAGATCAGTTCCCAGGAAAAAATTCATGTATGGTCTATCATTACCTAGAGAATTTATCCTTATTTATACTAGTGTATTTACCATTTTACCATTCATCATACATGTACATGTATTCATTTTTTTTTTTCTTTTGATAACATGCAATGCAACAATTAATTTTACAAGCGTTATTTTTATCTTCTACGAGGACCTTTGCATATATGAACTTCTAAGTTACATTCCCACAAAAAATTTTTTGTTATTAGATAAAAAATACGCATGCGCACATAATTCTTTCCCACAAAGTTTGCAGTACTCTAGAATGAAAATTAAGAGATTCAAATTGTCTTTTTATTGCGATGTTTCTTATTGCGGGACATTTGCGTTGGTGCTTATTATTTTTTAACTTTACATGTACGTGTGTGTACATATATATTATATATATATATTATACATATGTATATACATGTATAATATATTATATATATATATATATATATAATATATTATACATGTATATATAATGTATACAATATATAATATATATTGTATTGCGTGTGTATATATATATATATTATATTGAATAGACCAAACTAAATTAAAATATTTAAGTAAGCGCAACACTCAGTCTGAGCGCACAGATGGGCTTGTGCACATAGGGTTTTTTTATTTATAAAGAATTCAATTATACACTTCTGGATTGTATCGAATTTACATTTAACTTTAAATATAAACATATAGGCTAAAACTTTTTATTATGTCTTCTTTAAAGAATAACCTTTTTTTTTCTTTAATTGCGCGTTAACAAATCTTTTTAAAGTTCGAGACCCGAAGTTGTGCAAGTACCCACAATCAACACGGTACCATGAAAAAATCACCTGTAACATAATACACAAATCTAGAAAATGATGGCTGCATTACATGTTTATTTTCACGAATCTAACCGATTTCATTTGTTTTCATTAAACTTAATAAAACCTTTAAAAAAAAAACAATTGAGTTGCAACCAAACCCACATACCTAACGCTTTCTACTCTTTCTCATTTTGGATCTTTTCATTCGATGTATGTGATTGTTCTAAATAAAGTTTTTTTTTTTCATTGAACCGTTTATAACTCGGGTATTTTCCTAAATTAATCTTGTGTTATCAAATGAAAACAATGTAAGTAATATAATCTCAATGAAGATGCAATACTCTTTTTTTGCGGGGTACTTCTAATCTTTCACTTATGTATAATAAAAATCAGTTTACATTATCATATGTTCATATGCATGCTTTTGACGGTGACATTCATGAATGTTTGGTTTTATTACACACAGACTCTTTAATTATGTAGGTGAACATTCCATCAACTTTCTATTATAATAAAACGGATGGGCAGTTCTCCATTATAATTCTTTTGAAAAGCACAACATATCTAAGTACACGTTATATATATATATATATATACAGTATACATATAATATATATATATAGATATATATGTATGTGGGAAGAACCACTTTAAGAAAAAAAAGCACCATAATAAATTAAAATCCATTATAAATTTTTTATTCATGTACATGAACATTGAATGCTGCATAGATTCTCTGAATCTAAGAGTAAGATTAAAAATTTGTCAATGAGATGCACATATTTTGAGGAAACAATTAAAACCTTAAAAAAAAAAGGTTAATTAAAAAACTTATTCATTTGAGCGCACGTATTTTTTACCTATCACAAACATACCTCTCATACATCCATACTATCTAGGAAATAATAAAAAACTCATTCTCTCTTATTCTTTACTATGGTTAGATCTTAATTCAAAAAAAGACTAATCGAACATCTGAGAGAACAATGGACAAACAAATTCACTTACATAAATACTAAGATCAAACTTTTTTTTCTATTTGATATTATAATTCAATTCACACTTTTGCATCCACATGACATGATAAATAATAAACAATAAAGAAAGGATTTGATATGCATGTGCGATCGATTATATAATTTTTTTTTATATATATACCGATCTTTTTTTTCAACTCTGAATGGTTAAAATTAAATGAACGTGACATGACGAAGAGACGAGGTTGTGTTGATCCATTATCACTTTAAAACATGCATGAATTTAGATAGTTGATCGTTATGATAACTTTTTTGAAAATTTGAACTCTGATGACGTATTTTTCTTTGGTGATTACGAAAAGTTGATCTACACCGAAAAGATTTCATTCGTTCACTCACGTGTCACACTCAAATAGAACAATGAAGGTTTTCCGGCTTTTGTTTTTGTTTGTTTACGTGGTCAGTTTTTCCATTGAATGACAATTTATGACAACAAAAAAAGAATCCCCTCCCCCCCGCGAAAAAACTACGCACAGTCATTCCCCTCTTGCGTATTTATTTTTAAGTCACAACTTAAAAAATGGTATCCTATTTAAAATGAAGAGTGGCCCCAAGTCCAAACAAAATGGATCGAGACAATAGGCAACCAATTTTCCCAGAAACACAAGAAATTATTTGTTATATTATTTGACGTCAGACGTCAATTCAAATGTCGTGCTGTTTGTTGATCTCTAAATCTATTATTAGAGAAAGGAGAAACAAATATAATAATAATAATAATAATAATAAAGAAAAAGGTGGTGCCCTGACCACTTTCTTTTTTGTATTTGGAGAAAAAGATGCCCGTTCTCGTAGTAACGGAATAACAATCACTCGTGCATTTACCCCCCAAAAATTGTTGTTTTGTTAGTATGACATCTCGTCGTGACAAAATAATCAATTACTCTTGTTCATTGTTTGTCGCTATGGGGCGGAGAATTAACTGTGGCGAGTGATGAAATGTACCACCCACATGGATGGAGAGACACATTTTTGGTTTTTCAAGTGGAATTCGTCGGCCGATCTATCCAAACGATAATGATAATATCTGATAATCAATATTAAACCTGATTATCGTCGTCAACGAAACGAACCAATGAATTTTATTTTGAAAATCTCCCAACATTGGAATTATTTTGTCTTAAATTTTTACATAATTAACAAGAGACATACAAATCAGCTAATTAGCGCGTCTTTCACGAAAAGCGAGCCGTAAATTGATCACATTCCTCGAGACCTTAATTTGAGCAGAAAATCATATTTTATTTACATCACTAATAAGTTTAGATTAAGATTCGAACTCGGCTACGGGTGGTTCGAAGATCCGTTTCTATTGTGATGCAATACAGCCAAACACCACATAACGTTAAATGGAAGAAAGAAATCAATTGTAATATTTGTCGTTATTAACTAAGAAAAGATTAAATGAAAACAATCATCGTGTTAAAACGTGTCAATCAAAGTTTGGCATCAGGGTTTCCAATAAAGTTTTAATGAAGGAAGGTAATCATCTCTGCTTGATTAAAAATCCACGTGCAACCATCGCATTTTGAGATTTGTTATTTTATAAAGTAAAATAAAAAAAGCTTATGATTTTTCATGTCTCTCTTTACATGCAGCTTGCATCAGCGTAGAATCGGTATGCATAAATTATTACCTTTCTCTTCTTTCACCATTCCATCCCGCGTTCTGGATCGTATGTTCGCTGTGATATCGACGATGATCAAAAAATTCAGCATTTTTGGTTGATGCGAAAATCTTATGCGAATTTTTTATCTTGCTCTTTATCGAAACAGACGCTTTTCATTTCCATGTTCCTCTTCGAGCAAATGTTTTAACTTTATCAAGTAAAAACTCGCACGCATTTACATACATATAGACTCGAAAAAACAGGTAAAGGTAAAATAGTGGCAATGATGAGTTAGTTGGTAGATTTTCAATTTGTAGATTCTGTTCAAAAAAGTAAAATGGTAAAACCTTAAAACTGGTTATTATAAAATCAACAATACATATATCGGGATATATATATAAATATATATATATATATATATATATATATATATATTAATTACATGTTTATTTAATTTGGCGTTTCCTTCCTATTCCCCCATTCCAAGATATTGTTTGAATACACATTGTAATAGTTGGTATGGAACCGTCATCGTAGATCGTTCCCCTTCTCAAATCGAGATGCGGGTATAGATGTACGAAATTTAGGGCGCTATTTGTTGGCTACAATATTACCCAATTTCTATATTCACATATTGATCGTGTGAAAAGGTTATTTATCTTTGTGTATTATATTTATGTATGTATTGATTAAAGTAATTATAATCAACTTTATTGTCGTTATTGTTATTGTGTTTTTGTTTGATTTTTGTTTTGTTTTACTCACAAGGTAACAAAAAAAATTCTTAATAAAATTTTTTCTATAAAATGACCGAGTTAACAACCACATTGCCAAGTTGCGTTTTGACAGCAAGATAAACAACCTGTATACGAGTTTACCGATAGTTAACTTTAACGATATTTTCTAACGAAAATTATTACCAGAATTCATCATAATTACTGATTTTAACAGCGAATCATACGCATTCATTCAAAATCAATCGATTCTTTTAAGCTTACCAAATGCCTTCATTCAATAACAATCACGCTTCTACTTCGCGATTCTCTCGTCAAAAATCAAATCACGAAGTGTTCACTGAAATAAACCATAGCAATAACAATAACAACAACAACAACAACAACAATAATCATCATCAATCGTCAAATAATTTCGACAAGAATTCTTCAAAACCCAAACCGCCACAACAACATTCAAATCTCACAAAAGCTCTTTTAAGAGATTCCAATTGCCATCATCATAATCGTCGACCACAAATTCCCATAATTAGTGATAAAGAATTTGTTGATAAATTCACATCGATGGAAGGTCTTCTCGCTCAATACGAAGCACTTTTGGCGTTTGAACGAAAACAGCTCTACAAGAAGAAAGAAGCGGCGAAAAATGTACCTTCGGGATTTTTGAAAAAAGATAAAAGATTTTGGGAATTTCGAATTGAAAATGAAACCATAACTTTCGTAAGATATGGTTATATCCAGGAAGATGGCACATTGAAAGAACGTGCAGTGCAAAAACAACAGCATTCGAATCCTTCTATGGCTAGAAGATTTGTAGAACGGTTTATCGACGAGAAAATGAATTCTGGTTACGTCGGTTGGACTCGATGGTGAAGATGAAATTCAATTCATCCCAAATAGTTTTATTTTCAATCTATCAAATTTTTAATGTACATTTTTCTGTTTTATTCTTCATATTCTTTATATAATTAATTTCTTTTTCAATTTAATTTTTTTGTCTTTTTTCTTCTGTAGATAAAAAAGTATTTTTAATTTTTAATTTATAATTTGTAAATAGTTATTCCGAGATGATTTTGTTGCCCCCTCATGCGTGTGTATTAAATTTAAGCTATATATGAAATATAAGAAGCAATTTAATCTAAATATGTAAGGAAAAATTTTTTTAAGCAAATTTTAAAGATATGCTTTTACGATTATTATAAGTAGATACTCATCCCACATACATGTACCTTGTACTTTTTAAACGCTATAGAAGAAAATTTTTTACATCAGAAAAAAAAGATGAAAAAAAAAAATAGAAAATCACCAAATAAAGATCCTTTACATTTTACATTACTCGCGCATGTCATTACATGATTATTTGTTAAATACATGTAATTCTCACGAGACCCAAATAATAGTCGCGTGCTGACAATTTTTTTTACCTTTTCCTATTACGTAATATTTAAAGCTTGTGGAGTAAGCATCATTTAGGTTCCTCAAAAAAAAATTAGGGAATAAAAATAATCAGAGATTATTTCTTTTGACATCAAATTTTAGGTTTTCTAATTCCATCGCTATCAAAACATTCAATAATCCAGGATATGGAATCTCGATTTAACGGTACTTTTTAACAACAATTTCGTTATTTCAAGATTTATTACAGAATTCATCCTATTTTAAGCGTCCCCATTTTGGAATTACTCAAATTTATTACAGAATTCATCCTATTTTAAGCGTCCCCATTTTGGAATTACTCAAATCTTTAAGCTAGCTATTTGGAGACAAGTGGTGGAAAAAAAAAGAGAAATGACAATGTATTGGATTGTCATTTTTCCCTCCTTTTTCCCGTTTTAAAAATGTAATCAGTTGTTTGCTCCCTGCATATCGTTTTAGGCGAATTCAAAACTTAACATCTCATGGTGCAACATGCGCACGGTCTTCGCGGAACTTTATCCAATTCAACCATCATTTATTCACATGCATTATTCAAAAATAATACATCATGTTAATTCTAACTTTCACATGCATTTTCATCACCTTCTTTCTAACTTTAATTGTTTAACGTGGTGTAGAGATTCAAAAAGGTTAGGTATGGGTTCAGTATCGGTATGGTATGGATAGTCGGATGGATTAAATCGATCAACTATAGCTAAAAATAGCTAGCTATAATAATGCCCGGAGTAAAATCCCCCTGGCGCCATTTCAGTCCCTATTAATCCGAATCCCACATTCATCACACCTAAACTCTTTAGTTCCAGCCAAATTTAATATATCCACAATGACTTGCATGTTTTACTCGTATATGCTTCTGACACGGACGTTATAACAACTTTGTTAAATTCCTCCTTCTTAAATATCAATCGTTTCCTAAACCTAGCATGCGCCTAGCTCCCCATCTTTCGAACTGTCCTATTGTTAAGTCTTCTTCCTTGTCGACGTCGTGACATCCGTGTACTATCAAAAGTTGGCAATACTATTATATCAAAAGTACGAGCAGTTTTTTTGTGCGCTTCATCTACCGGATTTCGAACGCGTTTTCTTAAGCGGGCTTGATAGGGTTGCGCTTCCTGGCTGATGACAGGCAGAGGCGCACAATACGGTTAATATCATTGTCGCCAATATTACCATAGCCAACTGTGGGTGAATACCATGTGAGAAAGGTTCGGACACCAGGATCAATGGCTGCAACATGGATTTCTTCCGTTTGTTTTTCGCGGATAGACTTCTCATATACCATATAAATGTCCAGTGTCTTAATTTTTTCTCACACATAAGCTTTGAATCCATTGTGACATCTCCAATGTCATTCGGCCAACTGTGATTGGATCCTTGACACTCATGATGAAGTGGTGGGTTAGCCAAGCCCTTGTGACGTGGGTGGTCCGGATCAACAGCAAGAAGCGTCTTGTTATGTAAGAACCTGAGTAAAAACGAGGTGGTTCATGGGAGTATTGAGTGCGGATAGTGATGGTTTGTCGGTCATCTTTTTGAAGCAAAATGAAGTATGTGATGGAGATGTTGACTTCCTCTCTCCCGGTTTCTTGCAATGACCTCATCTCTCGCCTGTATTGCGCTCGAGCACCTCATATGGCACCTTGTCCGATACTGCGATCTTTTCCAATTGAAATATCACATGACAACTATTGGAGAAAGTTTTTATTTCCATACAAAGGAAAATTGAATTTTTCTGAGGCAAGAAACAAGATAGATTTAAAATGTTTCACAAATCAAAGAGTTGAAAGCAAATAGAAAGATTATCAAATGCATAATCTAATTAGCTTTTTAACATACTCCGAGTTCTAATCTCACGATGATTCAGCATAAATTCAATCACCACACCCAGAAGATAAAGTCCCAACGTGACAAAACAAAATCACGCATGGTCTCCGAAAAATTCAAGTGACCTCCTGTCTGGCGGAAGATAATATGCACAATTTAAATAAATAAATATCACTCGTCGTGGTCGATGTTGTTAGCTGAAGTAAAGATAAAGCGAAAAATGCAGTAAGAAAAAGAGATAAAAAAGCGATTGGATGCATCCAGATTAAAGTCATTTATTTTTATTGATATTGTGAAGATCTAATGGTGTTTTCACTT